GGAGTGTTAATAGGCTAGGCTGCACGCTTCGGGGACGACTCCAGCCTGGCTTTTCATTTTTATCTAGCTGGGATGTCAAAATGCTAGACTTTTCTTGTATTTTGGTGTTTGTTTTCCGTCTTTCTTTTTTTTTTTCTTTTTGTCAGTCTTGTTCTTGTACGCAGCTGGGTGCAATGGCACGATCTCGGGGCCGCTGCAACTTCCACCTCCTGGGTTAAGGTGATGTCTCCTGCCTTCAGCCCGCATAGCGCTGGGATTAAGAAGGCGTGTTGCCTACACGCCCAGTAATTTTTTGTATTTTTAGTAGAGGACTGGGTTTCGCCATGTTGGGCAGGCTGGTCCTCGAATCCGTGACGCTCGGTGATCGCACGCACTTCGTGGCCTCACAACAGCTGTGGTTACAGGCGTGAGCGCCACCTTCACGGCCTAGACTCTTTTTTTTTTTTTTTTTTTTGAGATGGAGTGCGGCTCTGTCGCCCCAGGTGGAGTGCAGTGGTGTGATCTTGGTCGACTGCGCTCTGCTGCCTGGGTTCACGCTATTCTCCGTGCCTCAGCCTCCAAGTAAGCTGGGAATCAGGTGCCCGCCACCCCATGCCCGGCTAATTTTTGTTTTTTTTTCGTAGAGACGGGTTTCACTTTGTTAGCCAGGATGGGTCTTGATTCCTGACCTCAATGATCTTCGCCAGCCGTTCCGGCCCATCGGCCTCACAGAGTCCTGGATTACAGGCAGGCCTCCCAAAGTGCTGGGATTACAGGCTTGAGCCACCGCGCCCGGCCGGTTTTTTGTTTTTGAGACAGAGTCTTGCTCTGTCACCCAGGCTGGAGTGCAGTGAGGAGATCTCGGCTCACTGCAACCTCCACCTCCTGGGTTCTAGCAATTCTCCTGCCTCAGCCTCCTTAGTAGGTGGGATTACAGGCTGTGCCACCACGCCCAGCTGATTTTTTGTATTTTTAGTAGAGATGAGGTTTCACCGTGTTAGCCAGGATGGTCTCGATTTCCTGACCTCATGATCCACCCACTTTGTCCTCCCAAAGTTCTGGGATTACAGGCATGAGCCACCACGCTTAGCTGTTGTATTATTACATTTTTTTTTTGAGATGGAGTCCCACTCTGTTGCCCAGGCTGGAGGGCAGTGGCGTGATCCCGGCTCACTGTAACCTCTTCCGCCCAGGTTCAAATGATTCTCCTGCCTCAGCCTCCCGAGTAGCTGGGATTACAGGTACCCGCCCCATGCCCAGCAAATTTTTTTTTTTTTTTTTTTTTTTGAGACGGAGTCTTGCTCTGTCGCCCCGGCTGGAATGCAGTGGCCGGATCTCAGCTCACTGCAAGCTCCACCTCCCGGGTTCACGCCATTCTCCTGCCTCAGCCTCCCAAGTAGCTGGGACTACAGGCGCCCGCCACCTCGTCTGGCTAGTTTTTTTGTATTTTTTAGTAGAGACGGGGTTTCACTGTGTTAGCCAGGATGGTCTTGATCTCCTGACCTCGTGATCCGCCCGTCTCGGCCTCCCAAAGTGCTGGGATTACAGGCTTGAGCCACCGCGCCCGGCCAATTTTTTGTATCTTTAGTAGAGACAGGGTCTCACCATCTTGGCCAGGCTGGTCTTGAACTCCTGACCTCGTGATCCACCCTCCCCGGCCTCCCAATGTGCTAGCATTACAGGTGTGAGCCACGGCACCCAGCCTATTTTTTTTAACTATTGAGTTTTTTTTGGTTTTTTTGGTTTGTTTGTTTGTTTTGAGACGGAGTCTCACTCTGTTGCCCAGGCTGGAGTGCAGTGGCTCCATCTTGGATCACTGCAACCTCTGACTCCTGGGTTCAAGCGATCCTTCAGCCTCAGCCTCCCGAATAGCTGAGATTACAGGCATGTGCCAATCCACCTGGCTAATTTTTGTATTTTTAGTAGAGACGAGGTTTCGCCATGTTGGCCAGGCTAGTCTTGAACTCCTGACCTCAGGTGTGCACCCGCCTCGGCCTCCCAAAGTGCTGGGATTACAGGCATGAACCACCACACCCAACCTAACTGTTGAGTTTTAAAATATTATTATATTTCTAGATACTAGACCTTTGTCAGATATGTAATTTGCAAATATGTCATCCAAGTCTATATTCTGTCTTTTCATCTTCATAGCAGAGTCTTTCACCAAGCAAAAGCTTTTTTTTTTTTTTTTTTTTTTTTTTTTTTTTTTTTTGAGACTGAGTTTTACTCTTGCTGCCTGGGCTGGAGTTCTATGTCACCATCTCGGTTCACCACAACCTCCCCTCTCTTTGTATTGTTAGTAGAGTTGGGGTTTCTTCATTTTGGTCAGGCTGGTCTTGAACTCCCAACCTCAGGTGATCTGCCTACGTCAGCCTCCCAAAGTGCTGGGATTATAGGCATGAGCCACTGCGCCTGGCCTTTACTTAGTTTTTAATTTTGATGAGGTCCAATTTATCAAATTTTCCCTTTATGGATCATGGTTTTCATATCAAATCTATGAAGTCTTTGTCTAGCCCTAGATCCTAAATATTTTCTCCTAGGTTTTTTCCTAAACATTCTATAGCTTTATATTTAGCTATATATGGAATTTTGAGTGAATTAGACTTCATGAACTATCACCCCACCCATGCAAGGTTTAGTATTCAGCAACAGCTCCAGACCCAAGGAGATGCCCTTGTAGATTTCTGTAACTCTTCACGTAGCTTCCTGCTCTCTGATACGTAGCCTAGGACCTCTGCTCTTAACTATTACACTATATTGCCTCTTAAGTTAGAGGTTGTGCAGCGTATTAATCAATGGCTAATCAATTACACTTACTGAGTTCCTAACTACAGGAAAGATCCCACAAAATATGCAAAAAGGAAGATATCCCAGCCTCAACCCTAGTCATCCCCACACGAGCCCAATGCAGTGATTAGGAAATACATGCAAACCTCTGAGTCAAGGGATGGTGACAGTACCGTTAGCAATAGGATTGCACAGTGAATGACAAACCACAATGCTGCTGTCTCCTCTCTGGACCCATCATTCATCCCTCCTCCCACACCTCTCTAGTTCCTCCAGCCTCTTCCATCAATGAGGAGCCAGAAAATTGACTGCCTCTCCCACCCTAGCCTCCCAAACTTCATCTAAGTTTTTGACTGGGTCAGGCACGGTGGCTCAAGCCTGTAATCCCAGCACTTTGGGAGGCCGAGGCAGGCAGATCACTTGAGCCCAGGAGTTCGAGACCAGCGTAGGCAACATGGTAAAAACCTGCCTCTACAAAAAATACAAAAATTAGCAAGGCTTGGTGGCATGCACCTGTGGTTCCAGCTACTCGGGAGGCTGAGCCTGGGAGTTCAAGGCTACCATGAGCCATTATCATGCCACTGCACTCCAGACTGGATGACAGAGTGAGACTCTATCTCAAAAAAAAAAAAAAAGAAAAGAAAGGCGGGGCCGTAGCTCACGCCTGTAATCCCAGCACTTTGGAAGGCTGAGGTGGGCGGATCATGGGGTCAGGAGTTTGAGACCAGCCTGGCCAACATGGTCTCTTTAGTAGCCCGTCTCTACTAAAAAATACAAAAATTGGCTGGGTGTGGTTGACTGGTGCCTGTAATCCCAGCTACTCAGGAGGCTGAGGCAGGAGAATTGCTTGAAGCCAAGAGGCAGAGGTTGCGGTGAGCCAAGGTTGCGCCATTGCACTCCAGCCTGGGTGACAGAGTAAGACTCCCTCTCGAAATAAATAAATAAATAGATACATACATACAAAAAGTAGCCGGGTATGGTGGCACATGCCTGTAGTCCCAGCTATTCAGGAGGCTGAGGCAGGAGAATTGCTTAAACATGGAGGGCAGGCCGGGCGCGGTGGCTCAAGCCTGTAATCCCAGCACTTTGGGAGGCCGAGACGGGCGGATCACGAGGTCAGGAGATGAGACCGATACGGCAACAGGTGAAACCCCAATCTTCTACTAAAAATACAAAAATAAGCTGGGCCGAAGTGGCGGGCGCCTGTGGCCCAGCTACTCGGGAGGCTGAGGCAGGAGAATGGCGTAAACCCGGAGGCAAGAGCTTGCAGTGAGCTGAGATCCGCCACTGCACCCAGCCTGGGCGACAGAGCCAGACCAGTCTCAAAAAAAAAAAAAAAAAAAACATGGAGGGCAAAGGTTGCACTGAGCTGACATTATGCCACTGCACTCCATCTGGGCGATAAGAGGAGACTCTCTCTCTTTTTTTTTTTTTTTTTTTTTTTCTTTGAGACGGAGTCTCGCCCTGTCACCCAGGCTGGAGGTGCAGTGGCCGGACCTCAGCTCACTGCAAGCTCCGCCTCTCGGTTACGCCATTCTCCTGCCTCGCTCCGAGTAGCTGGACTACAGGCGCCCGCCACCCGGCCCGGCTAGTTTTTTGTATTTTTAGTAAGAGACGGGTTCACCTGTTAGCCCAGGATGGTCTCGATCTCCTGACCTCGTGATCCGCCGTCTCGCCCAAAAGTGCTGGGATTACAGGCTTGAGCCCACCGCGCCGCCCGAGACCTCTCCTCGAAAAAAAAAAAAAAAAGGCCAGCATGTAGCCTCACACCTGTAATCCAGCACTTTGGGAGGCCAAGGTGGGTGGATCACGAGGTCAGGAGATTGAGACCATCCGCTAACAATGGGGAAACCGTCTCTATTAATAATACAAAAATCAGCCGGCCGTGGGTGGTGATTGCCCTGTATCCAGCTACTCGGCCAGGCTGAGGCGAGAAATGGTGGGTGAACCGGCAGGTAAAGCCTTTTAGTGAGTCGAGATTGTGCCACTGCGCTCCCAGCGCAACAGAGCGAGACCTTGTCTCAAAAAAAAAAAAAAAAGAGTTTGAGGCTGCAGTGAACTATGATGGACCACCACTGCCACTTCACACTTCACTCTAGCCTGGGTGACAGAGCGAGACCTTGTCTCCTAAAAATCAAAAAAAAAAAAAAAAAGGAAGCGCAGATAGAATAAACAACTCTGAGAGGGGACAATGATCTGGTGACAATCTCAAGTGAATCAGTGGTTGAACCAGGACCAGATCCCAGTGCCCTATCTTCTGGGGACATCCTGGGCCTGAATCTTTAATTCATGTCCCTTCTGCAGTGCCTTTCCTCTGAGGCCCTCAAAGGGAAACTGAGGCCTTTGAGGACATGAAGACTCGCATTAGGCCAACGAACCTTGAAACTCCAGATCGAAGAGAAGAAAGATCTGACTCTGTGTGTATGTGTGTGTGCATATATGTGTGTGTGTGTGTGTGTGTGGCAGAGGGGGTTGTGGTCATGGGGTACTGCCATGAACACACAAGGGGCAAGAAGCGTCTGAAATCAGAGCTAACTTGGGAGGCACAGAACACAGGGTGCCTGGAAGGGAAACAGATGTATTGTGGGGCACAGGGCAGGCTGGGAGGGGAACAAAGGTCCACTCCATGGGTAACCAGACCCTTCCGCCAGGGCTGGCCACTTCTGCCTTTGGAAAATGTTTCACAACGCCCCATGTTATGTGTATGTGTGAATTGGCCGATGAGAAACGAATGTTGATGTAAGAGGCAGGGCGCTAAGCTACGGATGGGTAACAGGGCGTGGGCTCGCACACTCGCTTGCACCAGTGCCCAGAGACGGGGTGCAAGCTGAGGAGCTGCCCAGAGCACTGCTCACACTGCCAGAGTACCTGAATTCGGCATTCCAATGACAGGTGAGTAGTGGCCCCTAGGGACAGAGCCTGATTTGGGGGTGGAGTGGAGGAGGTCACTAGGCTGGTGGAGACTTAAGGAAGCAAGAAAGCCCTTGGTCCCCCGTGGAAGCCTCTGGTCTCCCGTGAGAGTCCTGGTCTAGAACACAGTTCTGGACATCAGACTCAATCTCACTGGGTTGGGGTCCTTCACACCCCTAAGGGGTCTACTTTTCCTTTATCTGAAGTCTGTGGATCAAAGGCCCTGGAGCTTTCCGGGCTGCCGGAGAAAGTGAGGGGTCTGGCCAAGGGGCAGACATGTGGCCTGAGCTTGCCCTTCTTCGAGCCTAGGGTCTCTCTGCATTGTCTGTGGCAGGAGATCTGCCTCTGGGCATCTGTCCTCACATGAAAGGACAGTAATTCTGAAGCTGCCACGTCCCACACATCTGGAATGTTTGGTTGAGAGGTGGAGGTGATAGACCCAAGATGGCGGCCAGGGACCTTAGTTGTTCCACTTTTCCGGGAGGAGGAAGCAAGGGAACAGGGGGTTTAACTCTGGGCCACCAGAAAGAGGCAGGACACTCACCATGCTTCATGTGCCCCAACAGGTGACAAGGGTCCCCAAAGGCTGAGCAGGTCCAGCTATGGCTCTATCTCCAGCCCGACCAGCCCAGGGCCACAGCAAGCACCTCCCAGAGAGACCTACCTGAGTGAGAAGATCCCCATCCCAGACACAAAGCCGGTGGGATGCTAGAAACTTCCTGGGGGCTTGCAAGATTGACAGGATCCTATGGGATCCCATGGGCTGGAGAATAGGGTCTCCTTATGATCATGGGTGACAAGTCCCTTCCAGGTCTGAGCAGCAGTGGTGGACAGTGGCAACTGCCCCTTCCTGCTTCCATCCCCAGGGCTTAGCTGGGGTGCTTCAGTATTTGTCTAAAATTTCTCAATTAATCTCAGCTTTCCTATGAAGGAAAAGAGGCCTGGGGGGAATTGGGATTGGAGCCTTAAGGACATGTTTTAGCATTTAGGAAAGGGCATAGGGAGAAGTGAAGGAGGCTGCAGGCTGGCATCTAGCATCTAGGATGTTGTCACCTGCATTTCCAGTATCTTCGCTTTTTTTGGAGATGGAGTCTTGCTCTGTAGCCCAGGCTGCAGTGCAATGGCATGCTCTCAGCTCACTGCAACCTCCGCCTCCTGAGTTTAAGCGATTCTCCTGCCTCAGCCTCCCGAGTAGCTGGGATTACAGGCATGCACCACCATGCCAGGCTAATTTTTGTATTTTTAGTAGAGACAGGTTTTCACCATGTTGGCCAGGCTGGTCTCAAACTCCTGAGTTCAAATAATCCGCCCACCTCGGCCTTCCAAAGTGCTGGGATTATAGGCGCTAACCACTGCTCCCAGCCTCCAATATCTTTTGCAGATTTCTAAGCCGATAGGCCATGCCCTGGAACAGGGTGGGGGATCATAACCTCAGTGGACCACAGAGAGGAGGCCCTGTGGTCGGAAAAGGGGCTGGGGAGGGAGGAGCTGGGTCAGGGAGGCTTGGCCCCCTCACCCCCTTAGACAGCCCCCTGTGGGGTCTCTGAGGACCTGACAAGTCAGGGCTTGAAAGGGGCAGGCAGTTCAGGTGCAAGCCGGCTGCTGAGCTTAGCAGATCCAGAAAGCAGATCCTCTGTGACTCATCAGAGCATGCTGCTTCCTCCACCCATGCCCTCCCCATCCCCTGGGTGGCAGACCCAGGAACGGGCCATGGAGGGCAGGGCTGGGCTGACGAGCCTGTTGGGGCTCCTCTAGGGGATGGCCAAGGTGAACTGCCACCATCCCTATACCCAGAACCCCCTCACTCTACTCCCCCCACCCCCCACAGGGCACCTTCAGCCTGCAGAAGCTATGGGACCCCCTCACTCTACTCCTCCCACCCCCCACAGGGCACCTTCAGCCTGCAGAAGCTATGGGACCCCCTCACTCTACTCCTCCCACCCCCCACAGGGCACCTTCAGCCTGCGGAAGCTATGGGCCTTCACGGGGCCTGGTTTCCTCATGAGCATTGCTTTCCTGGACCCAGGAAACATCGAGTCAGATCTTCAGGCTGGCGCCGTGGCGGGATTCAAAGTAACTAAGTCGGGACCTGAGTGGGGACACGTTCGAGAGGGAGGTGACCAGGCTAAGTGTTGAAGGCCCCTGCTGGCCATGTTTCTCCAGTGTGGCCTGGGAGCTGGTGTTAAGTTCAAATGGGTCCGAAAAGGGTCCCCAGGGCAACCCTGCGAGAAGGTGGGACATTTGTGTGGGGGGTAGGGGACTGGGCACCTCTCTTTAAAAAAAAAAAAAACTATTTACTTATTTAATTTTATTTTTTTGAGATGGAGTCTCACTCTGTCGCCCAGGCTGGAGTGCAGTGGCACAATCTTGGCTCACTGCAACCTCTGCCTCCCGGGTTCAGGTGATTCTCCTGCCTCAGCCTCCCAAGTAGTGCCCGCCACCACGCCTGGCTAATTTTTGTATGTTTAGTAGAGACGGGGTTTCACTATGTGGGCCAGACTGGTCTTGAACTCCTGACCTCAAGTGATCCACCCATCTCCCAAAGTGCTGGGATTACAGGTGTGAGTCACCTCGCCTGGCGTAATTTATTTATTTATTTAGAGATGGGGGGTCTCACTATGTTGCTCAGGCTGGTCTTGAACTCCTGGACTCAAAGCAATCCTCCCACCTTAGCCTTTTAAAGTGCTGGGATTACAGGCGTGAACTACCAGCACCCTGCCAGGATGGGACTCCATCTCTCCCACCCCCTCCCTAAGGAGTGTCCTTGGTTGGAGGGTACCACGAACTGAGGGGCTTTCTGCGGCTGGCCGCTCTGGTTGAAGGCCTCTCCCTGCCTCCTCACAGCTTCTCTGGGTGCTGCTCTGGGCCACGTTGTTGGGCTTGCTCTGCCAGCGACTGGCTGCACGTCTGGGCGTGGTGACAGGCAAGGACTTGGGTGAAGTCTGCCATCTCTACTACCCTAAGGTGAGCTTGGGGGGCCTGGACAGGGAGAACCACTGGCCCCAAACCCCAAACAGCCATTTCTAGCTTCCACGATCAAATAAGCACATCATCTCACATGGGGCGTCCCAAGTCTATTTGTTTTTTTTTGTTGTTGTTGTTTGTTTGTTTTTCAGTTGGAGTCTTGCTCCGTCGCCCAGTCAGGAGTGCAGTGATGGGATCTCAACTCACTGCAACCTCTACCTCCCAGGTTCAAGCAATTCTCCTGCCTCAGCCTCTCGAGTAGCTGGGATTACAGGCACCCACCACCATGATCAGCTAATTTTTGTAATTTTAGTAGAAACAGGGTTTCACCATGTTGGCCAGGCTGGTCTCAAACTCCTGACCTCAGATGATCCACCCACGTCAGTCTCCCAAAGTGCTGGGATTATAGGCATGAGCCACCGCACCCGGCCCCAATTCCATTTGATAGATGAAAAAACTGAGGCTCAAACTGATAGCACACAGTCTAGAGGGACATGAGAGGCATGCCATTTCATAGAAGGGGCAATTAAAATTTGGGAAAGTGACTTGCCCAAGACAAAAAATGGGAGGCATCAGCTCAGGAATGGTCATTGGCTGGGGTGGACCCTGGGGACTTGGCTGTTGTGAGTGTCCAGTTTGGAAAACAGAAATTATAGCACTAGACATTTCAAAGGTATTGAATGCAGGGATTGAAAGGTTTGGGAGGGCTTGGGAGGCAAGGGAAGAGGGTGTTACCCAAAGATCAGAAAGCTGCTACACCCCTGGCACAAGCCCCAGAGCCATCCTTTGCTGCTGAGCTCCTGGAAGCATTATTGACGTTGATGAAATCGCCACTAGTGTTGCCAGAGCCCAGGTTGCCTGGTGCCACTGCCAGAAATACCACAAGAAGCAGGGGAAAAAGTGGTTTATCTCAGCCAGGGAAGGTGGCTCACGCCTGTAATCCCAGCACTTTGGGAGGCTGAGGCGGGTGGATCACCTGAGGTCGGGAGTTCGAGACCAGCCTGACCAACATGGAGAAATCCCGTCTCTACTAAAAACACAAAACTAGCCGGGCATGGTGGTGCATGCCTGTAATCCCAGCTACTCAGGAGGCTGAGGCAGAAGAATCGCTTGAACCTGAGAGGGGGAGAGTGTGGTGAGCTGAGATTGTGCCATTGCACTCCAGGCTGGGCAACAAGAGCGAAATTCCATCTCAAAAAAAAAAAAAAAAAAGTTTATCTCTGCCTTTCCATCTCCTGTAAGCTCTTCCTACATAATATAGGAAGCCAATTGGCAAGACTGTCTTGTAAATGTAGTCTGAGACAACAGACAAATAACCGGCCCACCCCTAATGCAGGATTATCTCCTCCCCATAGGTGCCCCGCACACTCCTCTGGCTGACCATCGAACTAGCCATTGTGGGCTCCGACATGCAGGAAGTCATCGGCACGGCCATTGCATTCAATCTGCTCTCAGCTGGACGGTACCGCCCCAGTGTACCCCAACTCTTCAGGCCAGGCCGAGAACAGCTGCTGCTACTTCCCGTCCCCTCCCCTCAACGAGTCCCTCCCAGAGTTTATTTTATCCTGCTCTCCCCTCTGAAGCAGGGCTGCTGCCCTATTTTCCAGAAATGTAAAGTGATTTGTCTAAAGTAACACAGATGTGAGTCATGCAGGACTTTGGGATTGCAGCCCCAAACTCCCTGCTGCGCCGGGTGCCAGGTCTCTCCTCTAGCTCTGCCCAGCCTCGACTGTTCTATGCCACACTCCCACTCCCCTTGCCCTAGCTGTCTGGGGGCACTTAGGGTCCTGCTCCCAGGAGGCCAGATTCCTGTCTCCAGCCCTGAGGCTACCTAGGAGTTACAGACCCCTGGACCAGGCTGGGCTGACCCGGGTCACTCTGGTTTCAGAATCCCACTCTGGGGTGGCGTCCTCATCACCATCGTGGACACCTTCTTCTTCCTCTTCCTCGATAACTATGGTGGGTGCACACCCCATCTCATAGGGGAGTGGTGGTGGTGAGGGTGCTCTACTGGGAGAAGGGCTCTGACATCGAACTGCCTGAGCGCACCTGAGCTCCCTCACTCTCCCTGGGTGGCCTCTAGCAAGTTACTTGGACATCCCTTTCTTCACCTGTAACGTGGGGAAATAATAGCACAGACATCAGAGGGTGGTTGTGAAGACTGAGTGAGGTAACAAATGTTAAGCACTTGGCACTGTGCCTGAAAGCGCTCATAGTATTAGCCATTACGAATTGTTGATGTTACAGATTTTTTTCGTTGGTTTGTTTGGTTTGTTCTACTCTGTAGGGTTGCGGAAGCTGGAAGCTTTTTTTGGACTCCTTATAACCATTATGGCCTTGACCTTTGGCTATGAGGTAGGAAGCCAGTGCTGCAACCCCCCTGCGGACCCCCCAAGATTATTCCTCTCCCTTCCCTCTGGCCGCTAGCTGCGTGGGGGTGGGGTGGAATGGAGGCTGAGAAATGATGACCGCGGCGTGGTTGCGAGGGGCGGGGCTTGTCCTGACCAGGCTCCTCCCTGCAGTATGTGGTGGCGCGTCCTGACCAGGGAGCGCTTCTTCGGGGCCTGCTCCTGCCCTCGTGCCCGGGCTGCGGCCACCCCGAGCTGCTGCAGGCGGTGGGCATTGTTGGCGCCATCATCATGCCCCACAACATCTACCTGCACTCGGCCCTGGTCAAGGTGAGCAGCGGGGAGGGCAAAGGAGACCCCCCCTCAGTCGGAGCCATGCTGGCCCCGCCTCCAAGCCTGGAGCCCCTCCCCTTCCTTCCGTCAGGATTTTCGGAGCCTGTAATAATTGAGGGTCAGGCCGGACGCGGTGGCTCACGCCTGTAATCCCAGCACTTTGGGAGGCCGAGGCGGGCGGATCACGAGGTCAAAAGATCGAGACCATCCTGGCCAACATGGCGAAACCCCGTCTCTACTAAAAATACAAAAACTAGCTAGGCGTGGTGGCGCGCGCCTGTAGTCCCAGCGACTCCGGCTGAGGCAGGAGAATCGCTTGAACCGGGAGGCAGAGGTTGCGATGAGCCGAGATCGCGCCACTGCACCGCCACTGCACCTCTCCAACCTGGCGACAGAGCGAGACTGTCTCAAAAAAAAAAAAAAACAACAGTGTCTACTGTGCGCTGGGAGGAACAGACAGTCAAGGCCCCGGCCTTCTAGAGTTTCCGTTCTAGTAGGGTAGACGGACAACAAGCCAAGTAGCAAACAAAGGAAAGAATTATAGGCCGGGCGCGGTGGTTCACGCCTGTAATCCCAGCACTTCGGGAGGCCGAGGCGGGCGGATCACGAGTTCAGGAGTTTGAGACCAGCCTGGCCAACATGGTGAAATCCTGTCTCTACTAAAAATATAAAAAATTAGCCGGGAGTGGCGGCGTGTGCCTGTAATCCCAGCTACTGGGGAGGCTGAGGCAGGAGAATTGCTTGAAGCCAGTAGGCGGAAGTTGCAGTGAGGGGAGATCATGCCATTGCACTCCAGCCTGAGTGACAGAGCTAGACTCCCATCTCAAAAAAAAAAAAAGAAAGAAAAGAAAAAAGAGAAAAAGAACTGTAGAGCTGGGCGAGGTGGCTGACGTCTGTAATCCCAACACTTTGGGAAGCAGGTGGATCGCTTGAGCCCAGGAGTTTTGAGACCAGCCTGGGCAACATGGTGAAACCCTGTCTCTACTAACAAAAAATAAAAAATAAATAAAATAAATTAGTTGGGTGTTGTGCACACCGGTAGTCCTAGTTAGTCAGGAGGTTGAGGCCTGAGTCCCAGAGGTCGAGGCTGCAGTGAGCTGAGATCCCACCACTGCACTTCAACCTGAGTGACACAGCGAGACCCTCTCAAAAAAAAAAACAATAATAATAATTGTGAAAGGGACTCTGAAGTAAACAAAACAGAGAAATATGATAGAGAATGACTGAAAGTTGGGGAAGCAGATCAGGGAAAAGATATTACAAGCAGAGGGAAAGCAAGTGCAAAGGCCATGGGCAGAAATTAATAAGGCTTGGGTCCCTAACAGCCTAACAGTGGCTCACACCTGTAATCTCAGCACTCGAGGAGGCCAAGACAGGAGAATGCTTGAGCCCAGGAGTTCAAGACTAGCTTCAGCAAGACCCTGTCTCTACCGAAAATTTAAAAATTAGGCCGGGCGCGGTGGCTCAAGCCTGTAATCCCAGCACTTTGGGAGGCCGAGACGGGTGGATCACGAGGTCGGGAGATCGAGACCATCCTGGCTAACACAGTGAAACCCCCATTTCTAATAAAATAAAAAAAAAACTAGCCGGGCGAGGTGGCGGGTGCCTGTAGTTCCAGCTACTCGGGAGGCTGAGGCAGGAGAATGGCGTGAACCCGGGAGGCGTAGCTTGCAGTGAGCTGAGATCTGGCCACTGCACTCCAGCCTGGGTGACAGAGCGAGACTCCGTCTCAAAAAAATAATAATAATAAATAAAAATAAAAATAAAAAATTAGTTGTGGTGATGTGTGTCTGTGGTCCCAGCTACTCAGGAGGCTGGGGCAGGAGGATCACTTGGGCCCATGATTTGGAGGCTGCAGTGAGCCATGCATTGCACCACGGCACTCCAGCCTGGGTGACAGAACAAGACCTGTCTCTAAAAAATAAAATAAAGTAAGCCGGACATGTCTGAGGATGGAAAAAGGTAAGTGAAGGAGCGTGTCAGGACCTGAGGTAGCCAGGGACCTCAAAGGCCAGCCTTGCTTCACCCACAAAGTGGCTTGCAGTGGTCAGGCCGCTGTGGCAAGAACAGAGATGTAGGAGTCCATCGGCTGACCTGAGCCTGTCCCAAACTGCCACGCAGGGGACTTGAAAAGGTATTGGGCTTTGGGGAGAACATAGAAGTGTGAGGGTGGGGGACACTGTGGTGACTCTGAGGGACTTTGGCACTTCCCTCTCCCTTTGACTTTTGTAGTCTCGAGAGATAGACCGAGCCTGCCGAGTGGACATCAGAGAAGCCAACATGTACTTCCTGATTGAGGCCACCATCGCCCTGTCCGTCTCCTTTATCATCAACCTCTTTGTCATGGCTGTCTTTGGGCAGGCCTTCTACCAGCAAACCAACCAGGCTGCGGTGAGACACACTTTCCCCTGCACCTGAGGCCACACGCGTACTTATGTCCTGTAAGCCTTGCCGAGGACCCTAGGCAATGCAGCTGAGCCCTTCTGAGTCTCTGCCCTGATAATCTTCCCTGTTGGCAGATATCATTCATTCAGCAAATAATCATCGAGCATTTGTTTGTTTGTTTGTTTTTGAGATGGAGCCTTGCACTGTTGCCCAGGCTGGAGTGCAGTGGCACGATCTCGGCTCACTGCAAGCTTCACCTCCTGGGTTCACGCCATTCTCCTGCTTCAGCCTCTCAAGTAGCTGAGACTACAGACGCCCGCCACCATGCCCAGCTGATGTTTTGTACTTTTAGTAGAGACGGGGTTTTGCCGTGTTAGCCTGGATGGTCTCGATTTCCTGACCTTGTGATCTGCCTGCCTTGGCCTCCCAAAGTGCTGGGATTACAGGTGTGAGCCACCATGCCCGGCTGAGCATTTGTTATGTACCAAGCACATCCTAGACTCTGGGGATACAGCAGTCAATGCTACAAAGACCCAGTTCTCTGCAGCTTAAATGGGGAGCGAGGTGAGCAGACAGGAATGAATCCCGAAGGGTAGTACAGAGTGGGAAGAAATAAAGGGGGTGAAGAAGCATAGTTGGGGGTATGGGAGTGGGGTCTGCATTAGCCCAGGTGGTCAGGAAAGGCTCTTGGAAGAGGTGACATTTGTGCTAATACTGGAAAAGGAGCTAGGTGATTCCTCCCTGACTCTCTGGGATCTGGGACCTGTGTCTGCCTCCCCTTCTGAGTGGATCTCAGTCATGAGGCTCTAACAACTGCAGCCAGGGTTGGGGGCTTCCTGAATGCTAAGCCCTGTGGGAGAAGGTGTGGCCAGGCCTCCAAGGACCTGGGCACTGCCACTGCCTTGCTCTGTGACCTTGGGAGGTCACATTCCTCCCTGGGTCTCACTCTGTTCCTTGGTACAAGAAGGGAGATCAACATCGGGATTGCAAACCCCTGTCTTCAAGATCAGACAGGCGCAGAGCTGTGGGAAGTGGACAGTGTGAGGAGGGCATGGCAGCCAGCTGTCTCTGTGCTGATGCCAGCTCTTACGAACATAAAAGAAGCTGGAAACAGGCCGGGGGCGGTGGCTCATGCCTGCAATCCCAGCACTTTGGGAGGCCGAGGCAGACGGATCACCTGAGGTCAGGAGTTCAAGACCAGCCTGACCAACATGGAGAAACCCCATCTCTACTAAAAAAAATACAAACTTAGCTGGGGTGGTGGCGCATGCCTGTAATCCCAGCTACTTGGGGAGGCTGAGGCAGGAGAATCGCTTGAACCCAGGAGGCGGAGGTTGCGGTGAGCCGAGATTGCACCATTGCACTCCAGCCTGGGCAACAAGAGCGAAGCTATGTCTCAAACAAAAACAAAAACAAAAACAAAACAAACAAAAAAGAAGCTGGAAACTGGGTTCTCATGCCAGGCCTTCTCAATTTTAAATGTTGGCAACAAATCCATATTAAAGAAAAAAAAAAAACCCGCCGGGCGCGGTGGCTCATGCCTGTAATCCCAGCACTTTGGGAGGCTGAGGCAGGTGGCTCGCTTGAGCCTGGGAGTTCAAGACCAGCCTGGGCAACATGACAAGACCCCCATCGCTACAAAACATAAAAGCAAAACAAAACAAAACCCGACTTATTTTGTTAGTCAAACAAAATATGTCTGGCCACATTCAGCCTTGGGCCACCAGTTTTGGAACCCTGGTCAAGGCTAGGCAGTCCAGTTTCCCAAGGCTAAGCGTGCTCCTCACATCTTCCTTCTACTGCCCTGGTACCCGCAGTTCAACATCTGTGCCAACAGCAGCCTCCACGACTACGCCAAGATCTTCCCCATGAACAACGCCACCGTGGCCGTGGACATTTACCAGGGGGTGAGCGAGGGTGGGCGGGGAGGGCGAGGCCCAGAGAGGCGCCCGCCCCGCCCACCGAGGGGCGGGGCCTAGGGCGGGGCCACCGGTCCGACCACACTCCGTCCCTGCAGGGCGTGATTCTGGGCTGCTTGTTCGGCCCTGCGGCCCTCTACATCTGGGCCATAGGTCTCCTGGCGGCCGGGCAGAGCTCCACCATGACGGGCACCTACGCGGGACAGTTCGTGATGGAGGTGGGGCAGGGGGCGGTCCCGGGCGGGCAAGGGGTCCAAGGACACTTTGGACACTCCAGCAGGCACACTACTGGAGGCTAGGGCTCCGGGCCGGGCCTTGTGGTTCCTTTTTCTTTTCTTTCTTTTCTGTTTTCTTCCTTCTTTTGTTTTTTTTTTTTTTGTCGTTGTTGTTGTTGTTGAGACGGAGTCTCGCTCTTGTCTCCCAGGCTGGAGTGCAGTGGTGCGATCTCGGCTCACTGCAACCTCCCCCTCCCAGGTTCAAGCTTCTCCTGCCTCAGCCTCCTTAGTAGCTGGGATTTCAGGCACTTGCCACCACGCCTGGCTAATTTTTGTATTGTTAGTAGAGACGGAGTTTCACTGTGTTGGCCAGGCTGGTCTCAAGCCCTTGACCTCGTGATCCGCCCGCCTTGGCCTCCCAAAGTGCTGGGATTACAGGTGTGAGCCACTGAGCCTGGCCTTTTCTTTTTTTCTTTTTTTTTTTTTTTTTGAGATAGGATCTCACTCTGTCACCCAGACTGGAGTGCAGTGGCTCAATCTAGGCTCACTGCAACCTCTGCCTCCCAGGCTCAAGCCATTCTCCTGCTCTCCTGCCTCAGCCTCCCGCGTAGCTGGGATTATAGGCATGCGCCACCACACCCGGCTAATTTTTGTATTTTTAGTAGAGCCGGGGTTTCACCATGTTGGCCAAGCTGGTCTTGAACTCCTGACCTCAAATGATCCATCTGCCTCGGCTTCCCAAAGTACTGGGATTACAGACATGAGCCACTGCTCCCGGCCTTTTCTTTTCTTTCTTTCTTCCCCCCCCCCCCCCCCCCCCCCCCCGCACTTCTTTCTTTCTTTTTTGAGACAGGATTTCACTCTGTTGCTCAGGCTGAAGTGCAATGGTGCCATCACAGCTCGCTGCAGCCTCATCCTCAGCCTCCCAAGTCGCTGGGACCACAGGCTCATGCTACCACCCCGGGCTAATTTTTAAAGTTATTTGTAGAGATGTGGTCTTCCTATGTTTCCCAGGCTGGTCTTGAACTCCTGGGCTCAAGTGATCTTCCTGCCTTGGCTTCCCAAAGTGCTGGGATTACAGACGTGAGCCACCCCACCCAGCTTTTGTTTCCTTCACGTAGCCCAGAGGGCGACACTATAAGCGCCATTTTACAGATGAGAAAACTGAGATCCCGACAGATGAGGCGACTTGCCGGAAGCTGCAGACCCAGGACTAACAGAAGCCTTTTCCCCCAAACTGTTTAGTCTTCAGCAGCCAGCTATGGCATGGGAGCCCCCCATTTCTCCCCACCCACCCCCTCTTGCTGCCTAGGGACAGAGCTGCCCCCAATTCAACAGTGGAAAAACAGAGCATGCCCCCAGGGATAAATCAGTTGAGGGACTACAGAGGATCTCTCCTCTGGAATCCCCAGTCCTGTCTACTCCCCACCAAGGAGCTCACCCCCACCCCAGGGATTCCTCAGGCTGCGGTGGTCACGCTTCGCCCGCGTCCTCCTCACCCGCTCCTGCGCCATCCTGCCCACCGTGCTTGTGGCTGTCTTCCGGGACCTGAGGGACTTGTCCGGCCTCAATGATCTGCTCAACGTGCTGCAGAGCCTGCTGGTGAGATGCACGAAACCCACCAGCCCTGCCCGCTGCTGAGCTAAACAGGACCTCCAGCAACCCTCATGCTGAGCCTCGCCTGGGCCTGCCAGGCCCTGTCCTAGGCACACCTTGCCTACAAGGCTTCCATTGTCCCCACAGCCACCCTGGGGGCAGGAGGGTAGGAATCACCATTATCCTTCCCCCCTCCCCCGGCCCCAGATGGTCTTTGTTACCCAGGCTGGAGTGCAGTGGTTCAATCATGGCTCACTGCAGCTTGCCCTCCCAGGCTCTAGCAATCTTCCCACCTCAGGCTCCTGAGTACCAGGGACTACAGGTGCACACCATCACACCCAGCTAATTTTTTTTTTTTTTTTGTTGGGGTTTTTTCTTTTTTGAGACAGGATTTCACTCTGTTGCTCAGGCTGAAGTGCAATGGTGCCATCACAGCTCGCTGCAGCCTCATCCTCAGCCTCCCAAGTCGCTGGGACCACAGGCTCATGCTACCACCCCGGGCTAATTTTTAAAGTTATTTGTAGAGATGTGGTCTTCCTATGTTTCCCAGGCTGGTCTTGAACTCCTGGGCTCAAGTGATCTTCCTGCCTTGGCTTCCCAAAGTGCTGGGATTACAGACGTGAGCCACCCCACCCAGCTTTTGTTTCCTTCACGTAGCCCAGAGGGCGACACTATAAGCGCCATTTTACAGATGAGAAAACTGAGATCCCGACAGATGAGGCGACTTGCCGGAAGCTGCAGACCCAGGACTAACAGAAGCCTTTTCCCCCAAACTGTTTAGTCTTCAGCAGCCAGCTATGGCATGGGAGCCCCCCATTTCTCCCCACCCACCCCCTCTTGCTGCCTAGGGACAGAGCTGCCCCCAATTCAACAGTGGAAAAACAGAGCATGCCCCCAGGGATAAATCAGTTGAGGGACTACAGAGGATCTCTCCTCTGGAATCCCCAGTCCTGTCTACTCCCCACCAAGGAGCTCACCCCCACCCCAGGGATTCCTCAGGCTGCGGTGGTCACGCTTCGCCCGCGTCCTCCTCACCCGCTCCTGCGCCATCCTGCCCACCGTGCTTGTGGCTGTCTTCCGGGACCTGAGGGACTTGTCCGGCCTCAATGATCTGCTCAACGTGCTGCAGAGCCTGCTGGTGAGATGCACGAAACCCACCAGCCCTGCCCGCTGCTGAGCTAAACAGGACCTCCAGCAACCCTCATGCTGAGCCTCGCCTGGGCCTGCCAGGCCCTGTCCTAGGCACACCTTGCCTACAAGGCTTCCATTGTCCCCACAGCCACCCTGGGGGCAGGAGGGTAGGAATCACCATTATCCTTCCCCCCTCCCCCGGCCCCAGATGGTCTTTGTTACCCAGGCTGGAGTGCAGTGGTTCAATCATGGCTCACTGCAGCTTGCCCTCCCAGGCTCTAGCAATCTTCCCACCTCAGGCTCCTGAGTACCAGGGACTACAGGTGCACACCATCACACCCAGCTAATTTTTTTTTTTTTTTTTTTTTGAGATGGAGTTTCACTCTTGTTACCCAGGCTGGATTGCAGTGGTGAGATCTCGGCTCACTGCAACCTCTGCCTCCCAGGTTCAAGTGATTCTTCTGCCTCAGCCTTCTAAGTAACTGAGATTACAAGCGGCCACCATCACATCCATCTAATTTTTTGTATTTTTAGTAGAGACAGGGTTTCATCATGTTGGCCAGGATGGTCTCAAATTCCTGACCTCAGGTGATCCACCTGCCTTGACCTCCCAAAGTGCAGGGATTACAGGCGCGAGCCACCGTGGCAGGTCTAATTTTTTTTTTTTTTTTGAGACAGAGTCTCGCTCTGTTGCCGAGGCTGGAGTGCAGTGGCACGATCTCAGCTCACTGCAAGCTCCGCCTCCCGGGATCACGCCATTCTCCTGCGTCAGCCTCCCGAGTAGCTGGGCCTACAGGCGCCCGCCACCACGCCCGGCTAATTTTTTGTATTTTTTTAGTAGAGACGGGGTTTTACCGTGTTAGCCAGGATGGTCTTGATCTCCTGACCTTGTGATCTGCCCGCCTCAGCCTCCCAAAGTGCTGGGATTACAGGCATGAGCCACCGCACCCGGCCTTTTTTTTTTTTTTTTTAAAGTAGAGAGAAAAGCTCATTATGTATGTTGCCCAGGCTCGTTATCCCATTTTACAGATGGGAAAACTGATGCACTCAGTTAAGTTACTAGTGGCAGAGCTAGGATTCAAACTGAAGCAACCTGATGCCAGAGCCCCCAAACACTTTCTCCTGCCTGGGAGCCCACAACCTGAGAAGGCAGGAGACAGGGAAGTAGCCTCACTGTGGTTAGGGCAGTTGAGCTTATACCCACCCAGAGGGTGACAAGCCACGCCCATCTTGTCCCCACCCTTGCCATATTCTGAGGCAGGATTCCTCAGTCTAGGCTCCTGCTGCTCTCCCCAGCTCCCATTCGCCGTGCTGCCCATCCTCACGTTCACCAGCATGCCCGCCCTCATGCAGGAGTTTGCCAATGGCCCGTGAGTACCCCCCTTCCCAAGTGCTGGATTGCATCACCGCATTTCATCCTCACAGCCACCCAGAGGTACAAGCTACAATTCTCCCCATTATGCCAGTGAAGCCACAGGCTCAGAGAGGCTAAGGAACTTGCCCAGGGTCACACAGCTAGCAAGTTGGGGAACCAAGATTGGAATCCAGGGCGGAGGCCTGTTTCTAGAGCCTGAGCTCCTCACTCTCACCTCAGACTCAGCTCTTGCCAAATCCCTCCAGTGTGTAGCCTGGAGGGCCCAGGAGGCAGGAGGTGGGGAGGTGGTCTATCTGCTCCAGGTCCCACAGCCCAGAGAAGCAGCCTTTGTGTATCCACCCCCACCCCCAGTGTGGGCACTGGGAGATGAAGAGAAGTAGATGCAGGTGGTCCAGCTGCAGTCAGCCAGTCCTGAGCCTCTCTCGTGTCCCCCAGGCTGAGCAAGGTCGTCACCTCCTCCATCATGGTGCTAGTCTGCGCCATCAACCTCTACTTCGTGGTCAGCTACCTGCCCAGCCTGCCCCACCCTGCCTACTTCGGCCTTGCAGCCCTGCTGGCCGCAGCCTACCTGGGTCTCAGCACCTACCTGGTACAGTAGGGCCAGGGGATGCCTTGGGAATGGGTGAGGCGAGGACGGGAGGCAACCAATGGGGAGGGTCTGTGGGGACACATTGGGCCTTCCCCAGAGGTCTTGGCCTCTCCCCAACTCATGGTCGCCCCTCCGCCAGGTCTGGACCTGTTGCCTTGCCCACGGAGCCACCTTTCTGGCCCACAGCTCCCACCACCACTTCCTGTATGGGCTCCTTGAAGAGGACCAGAAAGGGGAGACCTCTGGCTAGGCCCACACCCGGGGCCTGGCTGGGAGTGGCATGTGTGGCGTGACTGGCCTGCTGGATGTGGAGGGGGCGCATGCAGGGAGCAGGATGGAGTGGGACAGTTCCTGAGACCTGCCTTTAGGGCTTTAGGGGCTTTAGGGATCTGCTATTTCCTAGCACAGCCATGTGATTAACCTCTGGGTCTCAGTGTCCTCATCTGTAAAATGGAGACAACACCACCCTTGCTATGGAGGTTGAGCACTTTAACACAGTGCCTGGCACTGGGGACAAAAACAAACAAAACAAACAACATTTCAAAAGGTATTTACTGAGCACCTTCAGGCGTGACCTGCCAGCCCAAGGACGGGTGGGGTAAGGACTTGGGGACTTGGGCGAGACACAGGCTCCAAACTGGAGCTTGAAATAGTGTCTGATGAACGTTTGTTTGTTTGTTTGTTTATTTATTTGAGACAGGGAAAGGGTCTCCCTCTGTGTCCCAGGCTGGAGTGCAGTGGCGCAATCTTGACTCATTGCAACCTCCGCCTTCTGGGTTCAACTGATTCTCGTGCCTCAGCCCCGGGAGTGGCGCGCACCACCACGCCCAGCTAATTTTTGTATTTTTAGTAGAGACGGGGTTTGCCATGCTGGCCAGACTGGTCTCGAACTGCCGGATTCAAGTGATCCTGCCCCCACCTCCGCCTCCCAAAGTGCTGGGAATTAGAGGCGTGAGCCACTGCACCCGGCCTGATTAAAGTTACATAAATACTAGTTCCCTTCTCGTCCAAAGGAGCAGGGAATGGGAAGCGGGAAGGCACGGAGTCTCTAAAACATCTAGAAGACCCCTACGCCAGGGTCTGGTCCGCTCCTATTCGCCGCAGCCTTTCTGTTCCGCCTGCAACCCATTTTCCAGACAGTAAAACGGAGGCGCGCTTCTTTCTCCGTCAGGCACCAGGTCATAAGGAACCCAAGAGCCCGTGCCTCTGAGGGCCAAGCTATTTGCTGTTTCCTTAAGGGACCCGGCGGCCGCGACTCCCACGCCGCGCCGTTAGCGCTCCCTCTCCGCTAACTGCTCCCCCTAGGGGCAGAGACAGTCCCGACGCCGGCCCTCCCGCCCCCTCCCCGCCAGGCGGAACGACCGGGGGAGGCTGGCGCTCGGGGCTCGCGCCCTGGGGCCCCAGAATCCTCTGGGGAGAGTGGGTCGGGGGAAGCTGTGTGGGCGGGGAGTCCCCTCTGCCTTAGGGAGCGACTGAGCACCCCTTCGCCCCATTCAGGGGCTGCACTTTACAGACGCTCCCTAGGCTGTTTCTAGGCTCCCCCAAGTCCCTCTTCCAGCCTCCTCGGGTCCCTCGGACCCCAGCCCAGGACCTGCGGAGAGCCGCAGCGAGGAGACACTAACGGGCCTTTCCCCAGAGTTGAACCTGGGCCGGGTGTTGCACCTGAAAGAACCCCCGATTTCCCGGGGACCCAGCAGGGCGGGCGGCCTGGCTCCGCGCTCAGGTCCGGACGCTTGTTTATGAGAAGAATTTCCTCTTTCTTAAAAGGGCAACGATGCGAGTGGGTCCCTCAAAGAGAAAAGGGATGGGACCGGGCTTGTGCGACCTGGGCAAGTGCTGCAGAGGGTACCTGGGCAAGAGGGCCGCCCGCCTCCTCTAGGGTTGGCACTGGAGATGAGTCCATGCCAGCTGAAAAAGATAGATGGGGGGGCGTGTAGCGAAGGCATCTCCCAGATCCTTTAGCCTCCTGGAAGTGCCCCAGTTGTACCCCCTACACACCCCTCTCGTGAATTCACTTGGCATTGAGTGCCAGTCCTGTGCCAGGCCCTGTGTTACAAGTGGGGGAGGGAGGCAAAGTTCCTAATTAAAGATGTCAGCTCTCAAGGGCCCCACACTCCAGTGGCGGGAGACAGCTGTGCAAACAAGTCTCTGGGGCAGGATGCGGTGAAGGCCGCTGCCCCTGAGGCCGGCCTGGGAAGGGGACTGAATCTTGCTGAAGGGGGGTCAGGGGTAGGGGGGGAGTGCTGACAGGACAGTCCAGGAGGAATGAGAGTGCCAGGAGCATGGGGACACGTCTGTGCACATCTGCCAAGACATGAAGCCTTCTGGGGACGTCTTAGATCTTGTGGGGCAGGAATGGGGGGACGGCAGAGGAATGGGCAGGTTGGTCAAGAAGACACGGAGGGTCGGCTAAGGGGCTACCCAGGGCCTGGGCAAAGGGCTAGTGATGAGGTCGCGCCAAGGTCAGTCGTTTGGAGACTGGAAGGCGTCTACTTAGAGCTGCCCCCATTCCACCCATTGTAGCTCTGGTTCTCCCAGCCCGGGCTCAAATCGACCCTCCAGGAAGAGGGGTGCAGAGTTGCTCTCCTGGAAGCTCCCTTTAGGCCTCTCAGGGAGGGCGTGGTCGCATTCGGCACTCCCCAGGAGCCTGCTGAGCGCACCCCGACTTTCTGCACCGCTCCCCCCATCCCCCTGGGATGGGCTTTTACCAGCCCCGTTTGGCAGATGGGGAAGCTGAGGGGCTGGGTTGGGAGGGACGCTTCCAAATCCACAGGTGCCAGACAGCATCTTGCTGAATCCCGTTCCTGCCCCTCCCCGTTTCTGATTTGTGGCCTCCATGATTTTATTTTTGCTGGGGTGCGAATCGATAAAACAGACAAAAAATAGAGTGCATAAAGCGAGCTCCACCTGTAGAGATAGAGAGCAGCTGGGTGTAGACAACCCCCCGAGGGAGGACACCCGAAGGACCCCCTCCCCCTACGCAATCCTGGCCTCTCGAGTCACTCCGTAACTACCTGCCCCGAGGCGTGGGGAGAGAAGTCCAGGGCTCCAGGCAGAAGGCGCGGCTGCCTCTGCTGCCTTGGGAGCATGGGAGGAGGAGTTAGGTCTCCCTGGGAAAAGACCGGCACAGGCAAAGACTTGAAGTGGCGATAGGTTGGGGTGGAGGAGGTGGGGCATTCCTGAGGAATCCCGTGAGCTCAGGATGGCCCGTCTGGGAATGGTGGGTGGGGGGCCAGCCGGCCAGGTTCCAGCCCCCTTCACAGAGGGAGAGGAAGGCGCGCCACCCAACTCAGGCCAAGGGCGAGGCCACGACTCCACTCGGTCCCTCGCCACACGCTTCCTTTTGGGGTCATGAGGGCCCCGCATCCGGAGATAAAGCTGAGGCCCCACCCAGGGGGCCGGACCGCAGGGGAGACAGATGTCCCGCTCCCAGGCTGGAATCCCGCCTTTGCCCTCGCCGGTAGACCCGGGGAACGTCGCTTCCTTTCTTGAAGCTCAGTTTCCTCATCTGTGAAATGGGATAAGGAGGCCGTTCTAAGGGGTAAATGAGGTTAGGGGGCGCAGCCAGAGCAGGCCTGGGAGAGCGCCAGCAGCGCGTGGCGATCACGGTGAAGCGCAATGGTGGCCGCCCCGTGGGCTACCCAGAAGCAGGAGGAGGGCCGAGGGAACCAGCCCGGGGGCCGGGGTATCAGTCCCCGACAGTCCCCTCCCGCCCCTGCTCCCAGCCTCAGGGTACGAAGCCGCCGCGCCTAATGGCAGGCACCGCTCCCCTCCCTTCCCCTCCCGGCCCCCACGCGGGGCCTCCCCTCCCCGGCTCCCCCTCGGCAGGGCCTGGCGGACGTGCGCCGCGTCGCACCCGGAGGCCGAACGGGACAGGACGCGCCCGCCCCGCCCCGCCACGGAGGCCCGCGGGAGAGCGGGGAGGGGAGGAAGTGCCGAGGCGTATTTGTCGGGCTTGGCGTTATTAGTTTTTAAATGGTGAACTTACAGAATAGTAATGACGAGTGAAAAGACCAACCCGCAGACCCACGGCGCGCACCACGGAGGGGCTTCCCGCGAGAAGGCAGGAACCTTCGTTCCCAAGTGCCTAGCACTGCGCCATAGGCCGGGTGGAACGAGCCTTGAGGGCCTCTGGTTTGAGGTCCCCACGGTCGGGCTTTGGGCCCACCGCGTGCGGCGCCGTGCTGGGCTCCTGGGATCGGCAGCGAGTCCAGTGACCCCCACCGCACCCCCAGTAATCACAGGGCGGCCGGCGAACGCGGGCAGGGGAGGGGACCTGGGAAGGCCCCTGGAGAAGGTGGCATTTCCTCGAGGTCGGTGGAATTTGGCTACGCGGAGAGAACAGCGCATACGAAAACTTCTCCAGGGGGGAATGCGTGGTGGCCTGTGCGCGGCGGGTGGACGTGCGGGGCCCCGGGTGGGGCCGTGGGGAGAGGTCGGCAGGGGACTTCCCAGGGCAGGGAATTGAAATTTCACGCCCTACAGACCAGGGGCACCTTGCCCAGGGGCTGCGGGGGGCGGTGACCGTCCTATTCAAGACCGTGATTCTGAGGTTTGCACAGCTGTTTCAAGCCAGCAGCGCCTTCGCTGGCTCATGACGCCCTTGCGAAGTGACCTTTGCGACCACCAGACAGGAGAGAAGACCCATTTTACAGATGAGGTAGCGCTATCCCCAAGTCCTCAACGAGGTAACCAAGAAGCCTCTAGTCCCTGGTCCTCAGAAAACGCAGAGGTGGAGCCGCGCCGCACTCGTGCACTCCCGGGCGTGGGCGCTCCGCGCGGGCGGGCCTTGGCCCAGGGCGCTCGGCGGCCTGGAACGGTGAGCCGGGTGCCGAGCCTGCCACGCAGCCGCAGAGGCTCAGCCCCGCCGGCGGGCGGCAGGAAGGGAGGCGACGCCCCCCGGAGCGCGGCAGGAACCCGGCCCGGCCCGCCTCCCAGTCCGCCTAGCCGCGTCGGTCCCAGAAGTGGCGAAAGCCGCAGCCGAGTCCAGGTCACGCCGAAGCCGTTGCCCTTTTAAGGGGGAGCCTTGAAACGGCGCCTGGGTTCCATGTTTGCATCCGCCTCGCGGGGAGGAAACTCCATGTTGTAACAAAGTTTCCTCCGCGCCCCCTCCCTCCCCCTCCCCCCTAGAACCTGGCTCCCCTCCCCTCCGAAGCTCGCGGGGATCCCTCCCTCCCACCCCTCCCCTCCCCCCCGCGCCCCGATTCCGGCCCCAGCCGGGGGGGAGGCCGGGCGCCCGGGCCAGAGTCCGGCCGGAGCGGAGCGCGCCCGGCCCCATGGACAGCTCGGCCGTCATTACTCAGATCAGCAAGGAGGAGGCTCGGGGCCCGCTGCGGGGCAAAGGTACCGGGGCTGCGGGGAGGGGGCCGAAGTCGGGGCGCCGTGGGAGGAGAGGAGTGGCCGGGATCTTCCCCAGAGGAGCCGCCGCCGCCGCCCCGGGCGGCCGCCTCAGCCGTGCCCGAAGCTCCCAGCCCGAGAGGGAGCGGGGAGAGAGTTTGAACTCAAAGGAGGCTCAGAGACGCGGGGCGGGGCCTGGCGCTTTTGGGGCGCTCCCGTCCGCTCGAGGTGAGGAAACTGAGGCAGGAGTAGAGAAGGAACTCCTTCGGGGGCTTCCTGGCTGGCATTGCGTGGTGCATGGGCGCCCCCCCCCATTGGCGCCAATGGAGCTGGGAGATGGGGGAGCTAAGGAGGGTGCCTAAGGGCCACCGGCTGAGACTCCGCCCCACCCCCTCCCTTGGCTGCGGTTCCGTAGGGTCTTGGTCTTGGGAGGGGGCGCCGAGGTGACAGCGGGCTAGGGAGGCTTGGAGGGATCTCCCGCCAACACATAGCCACGTTCCCACAAACTTCGCGTCACGCGTGGAGGCGCCGAGCCCCTCGGAGACACAGAGAGGACGGTCAGCACTTCCAAGAGTTGCCTGGCGCCCGCGGGGAGAGTCGTGCGCCTAATGGGCACGCACTACCCCGCGAAGCCTAGCTGCTGCGCGCCCCCCCCCACCCTCGCGCGTGGCTGGGCCGGGGTGGGGGTCTGCCCGTCCTCTTCCCCGTGTGGATCTCAGGACCTGGACGCTGCCCCCAGGTCTGCCCACCCTCGCCTGGGCCTGGCTGCCCTGGAGCTGAGGGCAAGGTGGAAAGGCTAGTTGCAGGGGGCCGAAGGGGGATGGGGTGGGAGGGGTGTCTGTTAATCAGGCCGCCGCTCCTGGGCTCCAGGTCGGAGGTTTGGGCAGGGTGGGGCAAACAGATGGCCACTGGACATTGGCCCTAGGCCGCAGGACTGCACCCCTGCCTCTGGGCCCAGCCGCAGTGAGGACTTTGTACCAATGGGGGTGGAGAGGATGGAGAGAGGGCAGGGGCAGACTGCCACGGGTCCCAGGCCCTGGCTGTCCTGGGCAGGGGTGCTCAGGTAAGGTGGGGTCAGGAGGCACCCCAGTGGGGCTGATCATTAGCAGTCATGGAGGCTGTGAGAGGCAGGGAGAGAGCACCCCAGGACCCCCTTCTCCAGGCCACGCACTCCCTATGTGGGCGCCTTAATATCTGATAGGTCTCTATTTGTCAGGGACCTGCAGGAGCCTTAGAGCAGATTGTGGGGCCTTGACAGGGGCATTTCAGAGAAAGTCAGGATCTGCCTTCGTGTGTCTCCCTTGATGAAGGGGCCACGGCAAGATCCTCCCAGCTCAGGGGTTCATGCCTGGGCACACATGCAGGATTCTGCAGGCCAGTGTGCACCGAGCCCCCAACTTGGGCCTCCCTACTTCAGGTGACCAGAAGTCAGCAGCTTCCCAGAAGCCCCGAAGCCGGGGCATCCTCCACTCACTCTTCTGCTGTGTCTGCCGGGATGATGGGGAGGCTCTGCCCGCCCACAGCGGGGCGCCCCTGCTTGTGGAGGAGAATGGCGCCATCCCCAAGGTGCGTGGGGGCCAGGTGGGGCCGCGTGAGCACCTGTACTAAGTATTCAGGGTTTTAGGGGAAGGGGCTCCTAACTGAGCTTTTCAGGATGGACTTGCAGACCTGCAAGGTGAAAAGCAGGTGGGTGGCAACCTCCCCTGCCAGGCCCTGCCTACTGTGGGGAAACTGAATTCTCTCTTATAAGTGGAAGCTATTTTCTACC